GAGGGAGGGAGAGAGAAAGAAAAGAAAGAAAGAAAGAAAGAAAGAAAGAAAGAAAGAAAGAAAGAAAAGGAAAGAAAGAAAAGGAAAAGAAAGGAAAGGAAAGGAAAAGAAAAGAGAGAGAGAGAGAGAGAGAAAAGAAATCAAGTGTTTTCATCAAAAGGGAAAACAAGATAGTTCCGTAAAGTTATGCATATAAACCACATCCCAGTGATGCCATGTAGGGTTTGGAATATCATTTGCTGGTAGATTTCTGTCCAATAAATTTAGCAATGGATACACTGGTGGGTTTAGCCAAACCAGAAACAGTTATTTCCTGATTTCCAATTGAAAGGTATAGGTTTCTAACAGTTGTATAATTGTATTAATGTGTGCTACGGATAGATTATTTTAGAAATTGATTTGTCCACTTCCTTTAATATTTAGGATCTAAGGCACCAGTGTCTTATTTCTGGGGTAACTCAGGTAATGAGATTTCATTTTTATGAATCTTCAGGAGGAAATCATGCAAATTGCTTCTCACTCTTGCATTTTTGTAAGGAAAAATAAAACACCCAGTTGTCCATTGGTATTTTATCCATCTTAGGCACAACATTCTTCCTGCAAGTCAGGGATATTCACCTTAGTTTTAAAAGCTTTGCAGGTATCTATTTGACACTAGGTCATCTTTCTCTGCAATTTCTATGGCAGGGTGTATTCTTCACACTTTTTTATATGCCTCACTTCAGACAGCTACAGTATCTGTTGGATCCTGCTATTGTGAATTTGTGATTTCTGGCAAAACAAAAATCACCAGTCTATAGTCATACTGTTCCACTAAGTATAATGAAAAATCAGTATTTTAGATGGTTTGCTCAGAAACAATCAATACTATACATGAAATTTGTTCACAGCAAACCCTCAGCAAGGCTCTATGATAGAAGGGCATTTGTAGAGGGGAATTTATGAATATGACAGCAGCAATAAGCAGCTGAAAATAATCTATGAGACATTTTCAAATTACCCCTCATGAGCTGTAGTCCTTGTGAAAGATAATTTGTGGTTCTCACAGAATACCCTGCAAATTGGGTCTTTCATCTGCAATGTTTTTTACAGTTAAAACATTTCATTTCTCATATTAACAAGTGATAACTCTGCATTTGTTAATCTAAACAATTTGATTTCTATTTTTCTGTGCTGAGAGGCTGTTGACATTTCAGGGTAAGTAATTATTTTCATTGCCAACTGCTGTTTGTGGTGACTGTAGGCAAAAGATAGAAATCTGAATATACATAGGCATTGTTTTAATCATTTGCCAAAAGGACTATTCATAAAACAGGAATCTATTTGCCTGAGTTATCATCTGTCCTTAGAAATCTAATAGGACATGGGTGTTGATGAGTGAGGATTCTAGTCACATTCAGGCTTTGCTGTGGTGTATTGGAAGTCCTCTCATATGCCCAGTGTGGGCAGAGGGTTGGGGTTGACCTGCAGTATCACCAGGCCTCTGGCAGAGCACCGTGCACTTGGGGTCTTAAGTCACAGTAGCAAAAGGGAGCATGCGTTGTTGGCCATGGTAGCTCCCAGCTTATGTAACACCCGTTCAAGTACCTTAGCACTGGTTGCCAGGATTACATGATGAATGCTCACGAGAACATCTCTCTCACCATGCCTGGTGCCTAGTGCCAGGTCTGGACACATTTGGTGAAATGGGGATCTGGGGATGACATATAAAAAGATCTTCTAAATTTCCTTTGTCATGTTGCCTTCTTGGCCAAACTTACAGTCCAGGGCAAGGGAAAGAACGATTTTTTTTTTTTTTCACCTGGATGCGCAGTCTTACCCACCAAAGTGCCACCCCAGGCAGAGTAGAAAGGAGGCACCAGGGTTTGGGATGGAGTTGTTGGGACAGCCAGCTTTCTCTGGGATCTGCGTTTGATCTGAAAATCCATGCTAATTTTTCGATCTACTCCTCAACAGATCCAAGTTTATTTTAACATTCAGAAAAAAATTAACACCAAAGTTGATACTCCCCCCAAGAAAATCATGTAGCAAAATTGCTACTCTAAGATGGTCTATCTTTAAGCTTGTGGTGTGCGGGGCCCACGCTAGTTGTGAGGCACTGTGGGCAGGTGTAGATGGCCTCTGTGATGTTTCGGGGAGCATCGGTATGTGTCCTGCAGGGTAGGCTGTGGTAGGTTCCTCGGTACTTCCCGTGGCCTCTTCATACCACTGGCTGAGGCTCTGGCAGCTTCGGACAGGGAGAAAAATACTCCTGCTTGTGTGGACCTCCCATTCACATTCCAGGTTAGGCAATGGACTACTAATTTAGGATCCAAACTGATTTTTACATGGCCTGAAGGAGTGAATGTAGAGCCCGTACCCTGAATGGCAAATGTGTTTTATCCTTTGAACCGATTCCAATTGATTAGTTCTGGTTGCCTATAGTGCTGTCTTAAGAAGACATCTGCGTTGCATCAGGGCTCAGCTGGGAGGAGTGCTGGGATTGATTAGCGATGTCTGCCAAGGCCTCTGGAGGGACCACTGACCCTATATTCGCCATTCTTTGCTTTTGACATGTCCTTAACTCCTCTCTGTCAAATGATTTTAATACTAACAGGTGACTCTAAGTATGAGATAGGGCATCGTGAGAGAGAGCAGGTAGATGACATTTTAAGAAAACCTAGCATGAGAAAATGCACATTTACAAAATGCAGAAATCTGGAGCCAATTACTGCCATTACAGAGAGATTCCATGAAAGGCTCCTTTAAATAGCGAGCCCCCCTACTGCATTAAAATGATGATTTAATTTACAAAAATTCACTTTGCACGCAACTCTTCAGGACTGTGCCTGTGGAGGCAAGCAAGCCACACCTGATTTTTTTTAAACCTCGGCCTAAGTAATGTTCAGGATGTCTGCTGCCACCTATCTTGAGTCTCTTGATAGTTCCCACTCTCTGCAGACTTCCTTCCTACTTCCTCTCCCAGAGTATTGAGTAGACAATCTGGGTGGTGGTCAACAGCTGCTGGCTTCCACCGTGCCCACGGCTGCGTTTCATTAGTGGGTAAACTGATTGCTCCGAGTGTGTTTATGTGTGGGTGTGGCTGTACAAGCCTGTGTACTCTGTGCGCTGTGTGTGTAGATACGGATACACACAAGCCATTATCTTGCTCTCAGCCCACCCTAAATTCATTCCTGCTGTAAGAGTTATAAATGGAAGGTTCCAGTCGCCTGGTGGATACAGCCTTTTGCTAACATGTGCCCCGGATTCCAAATCCCCGTCCTCTTTGTGTTTGTTTATATGTCATTTACCCTTGCATCAGAAAACTTCCCCAGACCCTGGGCCTGAGTCCCATTATCCAGACATGGAACCCTCCTCTTCCTCTGTGGCCTACAAAGCCCCAAATGGCTTTCTGATTTAGAAAATTAAATATAATCTGACTCTTGTGGCAAGCTTTGCAATTCCCAACCAACAGACTCTCCCATTAAATACATAACATACACAAGATCTAAAAGTATCACCAATCTCACATGAATTTGAATTATAGGGGCATTCAGTGCCCCTTGGGTAAGATTGCCAGCTTCTTCCCGGGCACTCAAAATTGGGCAGTTTTCCAATGGACCATAAAGCTCCCCGGAATGCTGACTAGCACGTGTGTTTGGGTTTCTGTTGCTCTTTTAAAGCAACTGAACGCAGGGAAGAGTACCTGAGAGGGGTATCTTCCCTTTCCCTGCATCCTGCCTTCCCGCACACAGAGTGATTGCAGTAACTTCTCAGACACAGAGCACAAGTGTCGTCTCTATTTCAAATGCAGTATTTTTAAAATCTCAACATGATATTTTTCCCCCGGGGAATATTTATGTGGACAGGTTTTGGTTTTGGTTTTGCTTTGTTTTTTAGCAAGATGAGACCTTAGCAGTGAATGCATCGGACACTTTCTCTGGCCTAAGATGATTCTTCCTTTCTGCGATGGAGGCTCTCAGGCTGGTGAGCTGTCACACAGCTCCTTTCCTTCCATCTTCCCCGGGCTCATTGGTCCGAGCCGGGCGTCCCCCGTGGTGCTGGGCTGTGACAGCCGCGTAGGTGCAGCCGTAGACGGCAGCCGTCAGCATCATGAGACACACGATCCCGCACACAACCCCGGTGGTGATGATGGTGGCCACCGTGTGGCGCAGGTTGGCCGGCCTCGGCTTGGGTTTGAGCTCACACTCCGAGGGGTCTCGCTCCCTGGCGCTGTGGCTCTCAGGAGGCCCAGGGGCAGGCCGGTGGGCAGAACCCAGCTGCTGCCCCCTGGAGGACCCCACATCCAGAGACGGGAAAGGGCAGGGCTGGTAGAGCTCATGAGGGATCTTCAGGAGGTCCTCTCCTTTCCAGGTGTCTGGAGACGCACAGATGACACCGTCTGTTACTCCCCCTTTAAAAAACAGAAGCCGATAAATACGACAAATGTCCTTTGTTGTGATGTTGTACATTAATTACAAGGACCCAACGTGTCTACTAACACTCTTCGGTGATGCCAAATGGGAAGGTCAATGGCCTTTTGAGTGTCTGTGTATCTTTGACAGTAATGTTGGTTTAGTTCGTGGGATTAAGTACAATTAACATGGCTCCTCAGGCCTTGGAACATTCAGTAATTTGAGAACTGAACTTTCCAACAAGTTATTAGAGCCAGTTTCCACTCTCTGTAAGGTGATTGATTTCCTCAGGTATGTAGACTCGTGTTGTTCAGGGGGGGATTTGGGTGCCTGGTGATTGTTTTCTAGAAAGTACACTGAGCTAACAGATTTCGTTCTGGCCAAATATGACCTCCGATTTACTATCTAGGCAAATTAACTTCTCTGACTACATTTTTTTTTTTTTTTGCCATAAAATACTGTATTTGTATCTGACTTGATAGTTTACAAAGCGCTGTTCGATAAGTCCTCACAACTCTGCTCTAGTGGGTAATTCGTGTACAAGGTCACCCAGGTAGGTCATAAGTGGGCAGATCAGCACTTCAACCCAGCCCATCCCTTGATCCCAGTTTTCCCACTGTGCTCACTGCCTCTCTCCACTTCCTCCTCCCTCTTCCCCCTCCCTCCTGGAGGCTCTTGAGGTCAGCAGAGTTAATGCAATGACCCTCAGTGTAGCCCTTTGACTGGGCAGAACCTGGCCTGCATGACCTGTGGCTCAGCTCCTCTGGCTGCCATAAACTCCTCCTCCAGGAGGGCTGTGAAGCCTGGCACCACTTTTAGCCAAGTTAGATTGGAGAGCCTTTGTACACACCACAGGTAGATTATGAAATTATATCAGAAAGTCACATGCAGGAGATGGTCACTTCAGTGTTATTATAACCTTCCTTTGCAGAGTTTGCTGAATGCCTTCCAACCATCTTCTGAGCCTCATAAGCCAAGTCCTAGGAGGCCCTATGAGTAGATGGGGCCATTTTATAGTGCCATCATTACCATGGCCCCGGTCACACCGGGATCAGTGGCAGCATTCAACCCACACCTTTTTTGTCACCCTACTTGAAACTGAATCGCCTACTGCTAGAGTCACTTGGGCCCCTTCTGGCTTCTTCGGTGATTTCCCTGAGGCAGAGCCCCAACTCTAAAGCAAAAAGGTAACAGAAGAATTTCCTCCTTTCCTGAGCTGACATGCAGGAGGCCAGAGGTGCAGGGTGGCTGCTTCTGATGGGCCCTAGGTGCCATCAGGCTATGCTGAGACTAAGGATCCCTGCCTCAGGGACCAGTTCATGCCTCTGCCCAGGAATTTGTTGTAAGGCAGAAGGCCAGAGAAACCGAAATGGAGTGTGGGGCTTTGAGAAGTAGTGATGATATTCAACCTGGCCAGAGAACACGGAGCCTCCCCCCAGGGGAAGAAAGGCTGCCTGCCGTGGGACCAGCATTTCTGTCGCTGACTCATTCCTAGACTGGGGTGGTTCACCCAATCACTCCAGGCTTAAGCACTATCTTCTCCAGCTTGAGGCTTCCTGCTGATCAATATTAGGGTGGGAGGCATGGCCTTGGGACCCACAGCACCAAGGAAATACCCAGGCTATAGCCTGGGACAGAGCTGGAAGTCAGGGGCTGTGGCCACAAGAGCTCCATGGCCACCTGTGCAGCTGTGTGCTCAGGATTCACTTCCCAGCCTTCCACCACCATCTCCGCAGCCACGACCCCAGGAGGCAAATCTGCTGATGACAGCTTGTGGGTCCCCCTCCCTTCTAGATCCATGGAAGCTGTTAATGTAAGAAGTCCCAGCTTGCCGAGCCCTCATTATCCCCCATCTGGCCACTGGTAGCTCTTTACCAGTGTCCTGGAAGAAATTGGATTCAAATCTTGAGTCTATTACTTGCAGCTGACCATTTTTTGCCTCTGCTTGCTCATCTGGAAAGTGGGAGAGGGGGTAATAATGAAAAATCATATCACAAGATCACTCTGGGTTCAGTTGGGTGAAGTAGGTCAAGTATTTAGCACAATGCCTAGCTATAAATGTTCAATACAGTTAGCTTTTGACATGAAGATGATTTGTTTACTCTTGAATGGAGAGAGAGCAATACTAATCACAAAATCTATGTTCATGCTTTTGTGAAGGAGACATTTAGTAGGTATTCATCAAAGCACGTTTTTTTGGCTCTTGGGCCCACGGGAAGGCAAAATTTCCCCATCCTTTGTGGTCAGTTTGGGGACTGAGTTGTGGCCCATGGAACCAATGAATGCCACTTTTAGGCCACAAAATCCCTTGCTTCATCCTCCATGTGATCTGTTCCTACTTGGTGGTGCCCTTAGAGGCCATGTGGTGAAGTGGCAGCATTAGAAGCTGGAAGGAGCTTATGTCCCTGAATGACTGCATGGGACTCAACCTTAGCCCCCAGTTCCCTTGGGTCTAACACGAGTGAGCAAAAGACTTTTATTGTGACCATGACCCACATGGGTGTCATACCAACCAGCCTGTCCTGACTAATACCTTTACTGTTTGTATTTATTTATGTATCCTTTAAAAAAATAAGGCATTGGCCAATGCCTATTTTGCCTTACCCAATATATATTATTCCTCGGGGAGTCTGAGAATTAGAATGGACCTCAGGAACTCTCTGGCTTCACTCTGTCAGCTTTCACCTGTGACACTGAGAGCTGGTTGGGGGTGGGGCGGGGAACATTAATTTGTCCAGAGGTCACCATTGAGTTTGTGGCAGAGCAGAGGAGCTATCTCCTATTTCCTATCCCATGTTGCTTCTAGTGTCCTGGACCTGGAAACTATCCTTTGTCAAGAAATGTTCTTTGCTGAAAACTCTTTCTGCGATGGTTTGACTTATGGTTAGCATTTAGTCAGAACACAATAACTAAAGCCACTCCACCTCTAGGTATGAAAAGTTTTATTTGCAACGTCCTAGAAGAACAATTTTTGCCACAGTCTATGCCCCCTGTTGTAGGTCAACTTGAAGATTAGTTGGCTAGGGATAGGCTGTTTGCTATTATATTGTTGAGAAGGATTCTTAACTCAATATTGTATATCTGAACTCACGCTGTGCTCTCTCCCCCTTCCTTCTATGTAACTGCTGCAACCATCCGGACTCTATTGACCCCCTAATTCATGTCTATAGCTCTGAGATCTTTCTGAGTTAGGGGTTCAAACATACAGCTGCCAACTCAGCGGCACCCCTTGGATATGTAATGGGCACCCTGAACTTGACTTGCCCCAGATTCAACTCTCAATTTACCATCTCCACCACATACTTGCCTACTTGCCAAAGAATGCAGGGCCAAGACCCCACCCCCATTCTGCCCCTTATCGGCCCCTGGCATCGCTATGTATGTGGTTAATCTTGCAGGATCAAACAAATCAAATTTCCCATAATATACTCTTTTTTTTCATTCATTTCCCATTCCAATCCATTAGCAGTTTCTATCAGTTCAATATTCCAGATATATCCCCAAAGTTGATCATTTCTCGTGACCCTGGTCCAGGCTACCATCTTCTCTTCCCTGAATGACTGAAATCACTTTCTTCCCTCATCCCCTTGCTGCTTCTTCTGCAGCCTATGATCTGCTCTCCCTCAAGTCACCAGAGTCAGCTTTTGAAACTAGTTAGATATTGTTCCCTTGACTAAAATTCTTCAAGAGATTTCCATTTCATCTAAAATAAAACCCAAGTGACTCAGCCTGGTCTGCACGTTCCTACATGACCTGGCCCCTGAGTACTTGTGTTGCCTCATCTCCGTCTGCTCACTGCGTCCCTTCTTCTGTTCTCACCACTCTGCGGGCCTCTTTCTGTCTCTCAGGCAAGCCAAGCTTAGTCCCCTGTCAGGCCCTTTGCAATTTCTATCCTTTTCCCCAATTATCTCATGACTCATTTCTCCTCATTGTTCAGGGGCTGCTCACCCACATCACCTCTTTGGAGAAGTCTTCCCTATCCTTCCTATCTGAAATGGAACTCCCGTCCTGTCGCTGTCTCTCCCCTCACTCTGCCTCCTTGTGTCCTTAGCACCAAGTGCTATCTGAACTTGGCTATTGATTGGCTATCTTATTTTAATGTCTGTTTTTGCTACCAGAGTGTAACCTCCATGATGGTAGAGATTTTCTTATTCACCTTTTCTCATCATCTAGAAAAGTACCTGGCTCATAAATGGTACTCAAAACACAGGAATGAATGAATGATGCTTGAAAATTAAAAGGAAAGAAGCACTGTGATGTAGAGGAAAGAATGTGGGGCTAAGACCCAACAATCATTCATTCTATTTTTCTCTGTGCTTCTAATCTGTCATCCTGGGGAAGCCACTGATCATCTCTGGGCTTCCATTTCCCATTTATTATAGACTAGTATTGAGTTAGAAGGGGTCAGAAAACTTTTCCATAAAGAGCCAAGTAGTTAATATTTTAAACTTTGCCATACACAACTATTCAGCTTTGCCCTTGTGGTGCAAAATAGCTAAGGACAACACATGATAAATCAGCATAGATGTGTTCCAATAAATATTTACAAGAACAGGAGAGGGGCTGGATTTGGCTCTTGGGCTGTAGTTAGGTGACCTCTGGGTGGTTTCCAGAACCCTCATCTTTAATATTCTAGATTCTTTTGCTTTGATTTTTATCATCTGGTTAAAGAAATAGTAAGCAACTTTAGGAGGGGTCCCTGCTGCATACAATTTCAGTTAACAGCAGTATTTGCTAAAGCAGAAGGGATAATCTCAGGGAAGATTTATAGCTATCAAATTGGTAGAAGCACACACAGTGGGAGAAATCCCAAGGAGAGAGACCATGCTGGATCACACTTGAAAATTAGAATTTTTGTGCCACTTTGGAGTTGAGCAATTATTCAGGGGGTGAATATCCCTCCTTCTTAAGGGCCTGCAGCTCTCAGATAAATAATGTTGTTAATCAAAGTGGAAAGTTACCTCCATGAATCATATTTGTAGATGAATTTAAATCATGAATTTAAACACCCTCTAATGACTCCCTGCCTCGCTTGCCATACCCTAAAATGACATCAGTGCGAAAAAGCTTACACGAACCCCTTGCACACTCCTCAACGTTCCTTCTAATGCAGAACAAGAGATGAGGTTCATCCTAGGCTGGTAACACACAGACTGGGAGGTGGCGGGGGGGGGTTCCAAGTAGACATGACTGACCTTTATAGATAAATGTCTCCAGCCAGAGTTTAAGACTGAGCAAGTGGCAATTGCATTTCCAGAGGTTGTCCTTGAGAAACAAAAGCCTCACACTGGGCATGGATTCCAGGAGCGCTCGATCAAGCTGCTGAAGCTGGTTTTGTTGAACTGCAAATACGGTCAGGTTCTCCCAAGGCCTCCCCAGGGATGTGGGAAGGTGGCTTATGTTGTTTGATGACAAATCAAGCTCCCTCAGCTGTGGGAGGGAGTGGAAAAGCCTGCTTTCCAGAGAATGCAGGGAGTTCTGGGTTAGGTTTAAGACCTGCAAGTGCTGGAGTCCATGGAAAACCCCGGGGGCCAGGTGCGAGAGGGAATTGTTCCACAAGTTCAGGGTCCTGAGCTGTGGCACAGCCCTAAATGCGAACGCAGGAAGCTGGCGTATCTGGTTATCTTGCAAGTGCAGCGTTAGAGTCTGCGGAGGCAAATCCAGAGGGACTTCAGCCAGCCCCTGCCGGCGGCAGTCTACAGAATGTGAAGACGAGTGACAGCGGCACATCTCTGGGCAGCCACCCACCAGCCGGAGCAGGACGATCACGCCTGAAAGCAGAAGCAGTTCACCTACGAGGAACAAAAAGGAAACTGAGATGCGAAACCAATGTGTAAGCAGTGTTGGCAAGGGTTCACCTTCGAAATCACAAGTAATGTGACTCAGGGCCAGCGAACACCTTCTACAACCTGTAGGAGGGGTTCTGTCATTCCGCATCCTCAGGAAAGTCGGGCTGGCCTGGGTACAAACCCGGTGGAGTCAACTGCTGTGCAATTGGCAGAAGCCTGCGAAAAGATACTTTCTTAGTGGCCCAGTAAATGGAAGGTGGAAGACTTAAGGATATCACGTAGAAAGGTGAAAAATATCTTGGGGGGCCCATGCCTGTTGTAGGGCACAGCAGAATTATCTGAGGCCAGGAGTTTAGAAGAATGATAGGCCAATCAGATAGTCACATTTCTGAAAAGTAAGCTCCGGATCAGTGCTGTCCAGTAGAACTTGCTGTGGGGATGGAAATGATCTGCATCTGTTGTCCAGGATGGTAGTCGTTAGCTACATGTGGCTACTGAGCTCTTGAAATGTGACTACTGCAACCAAGGAACTGAATTTTTATTTGCATTTAATTTGAATTAATTTAAATTTAAATCGCCACATGGTGTTAATGGTTACCATCTTGGATCAGGCGGTTTTAAAGTATTCCTACATTTTGACATGCATCTTTGCAGGTGTAATAATTCCATGAATGGTGATCATCTCACTTTTTATTCAAGGGATTTTAAAAGTGCAAAAAAAAAAAAAGATTTTAAAAATGCAGAAAAGCATGTAATAAACACCCATATTCCTATAACACAGTTCTGTCAATCATTCATAGGTTATCATATTTTTCATCTTTTTTTCTGTTAACTTAAAGAAAAAAAGCATTACTGATACAGTTGCAATCCCTTTGATTAGCCCCCAAGTCATGTTTTTCAACATGAAGCCTCCTCACCCCTACCATTACTGACATATCCCTCTAGGGCTTTAAAAAAACAATACTTAATAATAACAACAGCAAATAGTCATGAGCCAGGCACCATTATAAGGGCATTATAATATTATATTACTAGTATATATATATATAGCTAATTAATATTACATATAATTATATATTATTATAATTATATAATATTATTATATTATAATATATATCAAAACTATATTATATATAATATATTACCATTTATTATATATTATAATACATCAATTAATATATTTATTATTATATATAGCTGTATATAATGGTATATTATATATATTAATTTAATCCTCATAACCTTGTAAATCTGGTTCTATTCTATCTGCATTATAAAGGTGAGGGAACTGAGGCACAGAGAAGTTGAACCACTTGTCCAAGGTGATATAGCTAGTGAGTAGTAGAATCATGATTTGAAACCAGTCTGCTTCCAGAGTCTGTCAGGATTCTTACCTGCTGTGCTTTCCCACTTGTCAAACACACACACACACACACACACACACACACACACAGTATGTAATGTGTTATATAGTGGTTTTTAAAACTCTACATACATATAGTCATTGGCATGTCTCATTTTGCCATTTACTCTATTCACTCAAAACTGATCTATCCATGTAGGTATAGAGAGAGAGAGTTCATTCCTTGTAAATACTATAGACCATTCCATGGTGACACCATGCCAAATTTAATATTTAGCCACTCCCTTACTGATGGACATTTGAGTTACTGCAGTTTTCCTTTACTATAAATGATGCTGCAGAGAACATCCTTACACAGAACAACTTGGCCATGCAGAAATTATGAAGAGGGTCTCCAGAATCAATAGGAGTCTCCTTGCAGGGTTCAGACAGGATGCTGAGCTGACATTTTTTTAGACACTGCTAGATCATTCTCCAGAGTAGCTGTATCACTTCCTGCCTTTTTTTTTTCCCCCTGGGTCTTGAATTTCAAAATATAGCAAATACCTGTTAAGAACATTTTGTGAAATTGGTAGAGGAATTCACAAGGCCATGCAATAATATTTAAAACTCAGATGATTATCTACTCATAAAGAAAGCTCCTGGAAGAGGTTGTTTGTCTGTCCAGCTTTGGCCTTAACTAGGGAAATAGACAATGTGGCTATCCAATGCACTGGACCCTTGAATTCTCTACTGATGGGAACGGCACTGAAGGCAACAGGGAAGATACCTAGAGAGCCTTCTGAAGATTCTGCTCAGTTTAGTTTAGCTCAAGGGATGCGGAACATCACAGTCCCCTTCCCTGTTCCAAAATATAAAAGAGCAAAATCCTTGTTTTCCTTTCTATAATTTTGCAAATAATCTAAATGACTCCTTTCAAAGCCAATGCACCTTCCTGGGAGAGAAGAGTCAATACAAATCTTAAATCAGAGAACAAGTTTTCCACAGAGTCCACTAATCTATTAATGACAGACTTGTCTTTCTGAGCTTGTGGCCAGTTTGCTCATTCTTCCTTGAGTCCCACTCCCCCGGCCTGCCCAAGGGGATGATAAATAAACTCCAACTTGAAGCGCTGTATTTTCTATGAAATGGCCCATGACATGCTAACTGCGTATGCCATCATGGCTGGGTACATATGTCCCCACGTCCTTCTTCTGACCCAACATGGCATAAACAGAAATTCCCCCACTAGAGACATTTTTTATAGGTTTGGTCTTTAGAGAAAGACAACTTCAAAGTTAAGTTTCCCACAGATACCTTGTTGAGGGAACCCCATTCCTCTCATGGACAGAGAACTTTTCTAAGGTGCAGGGGGATTAATCATGGCTCACCTTTCATGGCTGAGTCTCCACAGGCTTCCTCATGGATCCCGTAGCCCACCTTTATGAATCTGCAGATCCACACGCTGAGGGCATGGCGAGCTCAGAATCCAGCTTGTCATTCACTTTTTCAGGACAGAAAAGCTTGTGCTTTTCTTCCATGCAGAACACCGTTGTCACTTTCAGGGATCACGTATTTAAGCAATCCTGCCCCTGTCTCCATCTGACTCGGATGGTTTTCCATAAGAGGATCTTTCGATTGTGCCCCCTCTTCTTTCTTAAAGTGTCAGCCTCCCCAAGATCATCGTTGCCTTTCCCATTCAGGCGACGAGCCCCAGAAAGAATGTTTGTCAAACCTCCGTGAACAGCTGTAGCGTTCAAACATGACCCCGATGCCTCTGTCTTTTTGATTGTTTAATCTGCTTGAAGTCCAGGGCACCAAAATAAAACCGCCTTCTTAATCCGGTGGTGGTTTCTGAATTCTGTTGACTTATTAAGCATGCTGTGTCAACCCTCGCCGGGTTGGGGGACACTTGCTGTGGATCCTCGATCTGGGGGTCTAGCAACAGAGCCAGCAGAGTGTGTAATGTGAGGACAAATTGGCCTGCTGAAGGCTGACACGGTTTGCACAGGGCACTTGTTTGGTCATCCAAGGTGTATTCAGCCAACATCCGTAGGGATTATGTGTTGACAGGGTCTTGATGCCCTGAAATTCATACTCATGGTTTCCTTTAGTGGACATCACAGGCTCTTCTCACTGGTGCCACAAATACTTCTCAGCTGCTTCTCGCCCCCCCCCCGAATTGACCTTTCGGTTCGTGTGACTTTGGAAATACTTCTCAGCCTTTCATCGTTTCCCTGATGCTGGGGTTCCAGCCTTTCCCTCATTTTTCACATATAAAACAATAAAGCTGCCCCGTGAGCATCAGGCATCAATGAACTGTGACTGTTCCCTAATTGGAGCTGTTGGGAACTTTCCCACCAGGGCCTGAAGCATTTCTTTGAATGTGCAAATCCCCTGTCATCTGCTGAGGTGGGGTGTCAGTGCCCAAAGCTGCTCCTCGAAGTGTCACAATGCTCCCATGGCCAGGCCACCACAAGGAAGGTAAAAACCATGTTTTTATTGCGGCAGCTTGTGCAGGGGTATCCCTGGCCCCGAGCAGTGTAACAGAGCAGGGGAGTGTGGGATTTGGAGTTAGATGGGCCTGGATTTGAATTCAGCTTCACCGGTCACCAGCTTGATGTCTCTGGGTGAGTGACTCGCCCTCTGGGATCCTTATAGCCTCATGTCTAACACATCGTGGATGGTATTTTTTGCTTCACGGGTTTGTTCCCAGGATTAAATTAAAGCAAGCGATACATGCCACAGCCTGGAATGCCTTAATAAATGTTCACAGTTACCCATGAGAATGCCTTGCAGGACTTCTGTGCTGCTAGCATTCGAAGGACAGCCTTGACACAATAGGTAGGAGGAAGATCCTGGCAAAAGCCTGGGACACCCGGCCCCTCATGCCACTCTGGTGGCACCAGAGGACCCTTGTGAATGAAGCTGAAAAACTGGATGGTGACTATCCTTCAGAGCCTGCTCTTTGGAATCCCTTGTCTCTTTCGGCCATGTCCCATCCAGCCTCATGGATATCCTCTCAGTATATCCATCCTGCCCTCTTCCTGAAAAATCTCCTTTACCCAGCCCTCTACCTTTTGTCCTCTTCTGCAACATTCTTTGAGTACTGTGATACAATGGAGAAAAGTCAGGTGTAGGTGACAAAGAGCCATTTAAATCTTCATAAGGGCTAAATGGCTCCTTCCTTCCTCCCTCCCCTCCTTCCTCTCTATTTGTGAGCACACAGAATTTAATCATAATAATTCCTTGATGATATATGATCAGTGATAGCCCATATGTAGCTTTTGGTCATTAATGCATCATAGCAAACACCTATGAACCTAACCCTCGCTCTAAGAACTAGAAAGTTACCAATAACTTACATCAACCCATGTGTCTGTGTCTTTCCCTGGGGTTGGCAAACATTTTTGCATAAAGGGCCAGAGAGTAAATATTTTAGACATTGGGGGCCATACAGTCTCTGTCACAGCTGCTCAACCCTGATGGTGAGTACAGAGCCAGCCAGAGTCAATCCATGAACAAATAGACGTGCCTGTGCTCCAATAAAACTTTATTTACAAAAACAGGTGGAGGACTAGGTCAGCCCACGGGCCATAGTTTGCAAGCCTTGCTCCACCCCATTCCCTAGCCACTGCTATCATTCTCCTCTTGCACCACACACCGGTCACCCACTCAGCTAGACCTACCCACCAGCCTGTCTCCTCATCTACAAACTGACAGGTCTGGAAAAGGATGATTTTTAGGGTGTTCTTATGTCTAAAACCTTGTTATTCTCATTAGAATGCTTGAGTGGACTTGAAAGAGTCTGTATTTACAGACTTTAGGGGGCATTGGGCAAAGAGTTTGAGTGTCTCTTTGGGTTATAGCAGAGCTGTTTAGCTGTGTCTTGCACGGTCCACCTAGGGTCCAAGTCTTATGGACTCCAGAGGCCTGGGAAAGATGAATCCATTGACAGCATGGCTCAGCGTAAGGGGCCAGGACAGCAGTAGAGAAACTATAGATAGTCGTCACACCTGCAGGTAAACCCAGGCTGTGTGGCCAACTGAGGAAGCCCACTTTCATGCCGCTTATACCCTGAAGCTGGGTGACCTTGGGCAAACCACAGGCTCTCTCTGAGCCTCGGCTTCCTCCTCTGTAGAATGCAGATAGTAGCTACCTCATATAGCACAAGAAGGATCCAGTGATATATGTTAAGTGCACAGCACAGGTCTGGCAGAGCAAATGACCAAAAGTGGCATCTCCTGTTAGCTCCAAAGAGTCTGGACTGGCTGCTCTCACCTAAAATGTGGATAACCTGGGAACATGCAGAGAACCCACACCGCTGAGGGGTTCCTGGGAGGCGTGCCTTACTACCCAAAGGGGCTCTTTGGTTCTGTTTTGCTCCTGCTGACTCTCACAGGCGATTAAAAGATAGGCAGTGCACGCTTGGGGGAGATGCCTCCCAGACATTGAAGGACTTGGACATGGAATCTGATTGATTTATTCCATCTGACCTCAGCCCAGAGAACAAAGGGAGTGTGCTAATGCCTGAGGCACCTTCTCTCTCTCTTTCCCTTGGTGAGCCAGAGCTGAGAAGTGGCAAGACAACTGTACATGGCAGAAATGCCAAATGTCAGGTCAGGCCAAGGCTCTGTAGAGGGGAGGAGGCTCCACTGTGAGGGTTCCTAGTACCGAGACCTCGTCAAGAGCCCAGTTTCTCATGCGGGAACTTGCTTAAGTCAGAACATTTCCTAATATAAATTGGTCTTTTTAGCATTTCACCTTCCTCAAAAAAATAATCAACAATTATTAACATTTAAAATTGACGATGTTTTGAAATCCAACAAATGTGTATTAGCAGGTAATATACAGGTATATACAACTATTGAAAAAAAAATAAGTTACAGCTAAATATACTCACCTGGGAGGGTATTCATAATAAATTGTTAGGTTAGATAAAGCAATTTGAATAGGAATATACATTGCATAATCTTATTTATGTTGCCAAAAAAAAAAAAAATCCAGAGGTGCAGAGCTGGAGGGGTTAACCCTAAAAATGTGCATTGGTTTGTCTGAAGATGGAATAAGTGGGGAAGGACAGACTCCAAATAATACCAATTGCCCAGAAGACAGGGGTGATTTAAGAAGAGAGGAAAATTAACTTCTTTTGTTTATACCTCTGCATATTCGACTTGCTACAACAAATGTGTTATATCTGTAATTTTAAAAATACAAAGGAGGAGAAGAGTTAACTTTTGTTAAGTAGAAAGTAGAGATGCATTTCGTTTACTGTAATAGTTGAGGTGGCTAATTCTTACTGACTAGCTAGCTGAGTTTTATGTGCCAGTATCGCACGCTGGAGCTCCCCCTGTCTCACTCCACAAGGATTAGCCCCCAGAGTGATACACGTCTTTCTCTGCCAAGTGATCGCCGCATGTGAACAGACCTCATAATGCATGGACTATTTCTCCCAGTTTTAATATCTGCTTTGGTAAAATCGTGGCAAATTACTCCCCCATCCCTACCAGCGGGCCCCCATCCAAAGCAGGTGCGGCAGTGATCTGACACGGGGGAGGCAGCTGGGCCAAGTGACAGCCGCTGCCCAGTATAGCTCAGAGAAAGACCTTGGCATCGTAAATCCATGCAGAAATTTCATTTGGTTGTGGAGGAAATTTGGCATTTGGAAATATTTCCCTAGGGTTGTAGATGACCAAATGGCACCCAAGTATAAAGTTTATACAGAGCTATTTAAAGGACCTCAACATTATTTCCTTCCTTCCTGTTTCTTTCTTTTTTTCTTTTTCTCCTTGGTCTTATAAAACATATAGCGAGTGAGCTAGGAATATATTTTCCAATGGCTATAGTATAATGTATTTAGTGCTTACAATGGGCCAGATGTTGCTGAGGATTTGTACTGGTTAAATACAAATCCTTAATGTAATGAGTAAACTTCCAGATTTATTGTTCTCATCACAGTCTAGTTGAGGTTGACAGGGGGCCAACCTTCATGGAGTTATTCAGCCTCCTTCCATCTTGTCACTGTGCCTTCCTCTTAGTTCATAGTACCCTCTCCATCAGGTGATGATGGGAAAAGATGAGGATCAGGCATGGTCCCTGCCTGGAAATAGTACTTATCACTGGGCTTACATTCCATTGGCCAGAATGAAATCACATGACCACACCTAACAGCAAGGGAGGCTGGGAAATGTAGTCTAACTGTGTGCCTTGGAAGAAGAGGAGTGCTAGAGCATTAACAATCTCTGCCTCTACACTTTATTTGCATTATCTCACTTAAAGCTGACAACAACTCACTAGCCTAAAGCTTAAGATGGTTTCTTGTATTTCTTCTCATAGTTTCTGTAATACCATGTAGTACAGTCATTGAATAAATGTTGAATGTTGAAGGAATGCATGAATGACAGATCTGAAGCACAGAAAAGAAGTAACTTGCCTAAGGTGTCCAGCATATTTATTGCAAATATGTGGATCGTGAGTCCCCACGTTAAAGACAATATTCAGGGAAGTTATAGTTCTATGCATTTCATGTCTTAAATTATTATTTTTTTTATACAGTCCGTTCTGACAGTAAGCTACAAATTTAATTATCTGGAAGCGCTCCCTAACTGAGAAGATAGGAAAACAGTTCCCTTTTGAGTCACTCAATGGAAAATCAAGGCTGTCATAGGATTTCTCTAGTGAGAAGGTGGGAAGGATATATATACCTCCTCATTCTGTCTTGCCTTTTTGATAAAGTAAAAATTCCTACCTAGGGCTACCTAGTGTCATTCAGTTTATATGACTATCCATAGAGTTTAAACTCCCCTGACCTGGCCTCAAGATAGCTGATAAAATTAGTGGGTAGCGGATATGAAATGTGTGCCTTCAGCCTGTCTAATATTAACAAAGTCAATGGCCTAAGTGCCCACTTGT